GTTGAAATCATATGCGAGAATGAATGGCCCAGTGGCCTCTTCTTTCCATCTGTCCACTTTGTTCTCAGGAGATGAATCTTTCGATCTGCTTTATCTTTCCCTCCTCAATCTGTATCCCTCCTCTCCAGCTTTCAAGATTCCCAACGGCCCCACACCTTTCTTTTCTCTTGTATAGCCCTCCCACAAATTTAATCCTATCATTTAGTTTCTCCAATATATTTTTCTTCTCATTAACTGGCTCTCATTCATTCCTTCATTCACTCACTCTTCTGCGCTACTCGTCTCAACCTTCTGTCCCTTTTCTTTACTGCCTATCACTCTCTCCATCATCTAGCTTCTCTTCAACCCCTTAGCCTACCTCATTCTATCCATCCTCTCCTCCCTTCCTATCTACTTCATCCCAATGTTTTCCCCCAAAATATTCCCTGTGCTGATCTCTTTAAACTCTTTTCTTTTCTGTACTCAGTTACAAGCGTGTCTCTTTTCTCTTTTCCTCTACTGATGCTCTGTTCTCTAAAAATTCCCCCTTCTGTGTCATAAACATTCAAGATTCTTCTCTGTCCTCTCCCTGTTTTCAAAAGTTCTGTCTCACTACAGTGTGACAAGCGGCGACCCTGTTCTTTACTGGCAAAAACCTCACTGTTGTTTGGACAGGTGGTCCCGTATGATTTCCTCGGGGAACTTCATGTCAGCAAAAGCCTATTTATACTGTGTTCAATCTTTGTGTTTCTACTCGTCCCTTTATGCTCCCTCACAAATATATAGCACTTATTTTGGCTTTAAAATGCTGCTCTCTTCACTCAAAACAGCAAGAGGGATGGGAAATTGAATAGAGGGTTTCTTTTAAAAATATCTGTTCAGGGGCCGGAGCGATAGCACAGCGGGTAGGGCTTTTGCCTTGTACGCGGCTGACCCAGGTTTGTTCCCCGGCATCCCATATGGTCCCCCAAGCACCACCAGGAGTGGTTCCTGAGTGCAGAGCCAGGAGTGACCCCTGAGCATTGCTCGGTGTGACCCAAAAGGAAAAAAAATTAAAAAAATAAAATATTTGTTCATTTCTGGATCAAATCCAATTAGAACTCAGGATATTCTCCTGGTTCTTGCTCCGGGATCACTCCTTACAGTGTTTAGGGGACCCTATGGGGTGCCAGAGATTCAACCTGGGTCGCTGGGTGCAAGGCAAGAGCCCTCTCCGCTGTGCTATGGCTCCGGCTGCTCCTCCCTTTCTTTTCCAAACAAGTCCCCAGGAAACATTTTCTATTTCCCATCTCCTCTAGTCTACAGCAACTCTTAAACACTCTCATGGCTCTAACTGCTCCACTAAACCTTGGCACCTTGGCATGTGAGAAAGACCTAGGGCTGGGTGTCACCGGACCACAAACGTACTGTTATTTACTACATCATGATGTCTCGCTGTGATTGGCAACAACATTGTAAAAGTGTGTAAATATACTTCCAACCTCCAATTTTCTTGGCTGCCCCTAATTATCTGAAAATTCAGAAATCAATAGAAATACCAATAATAATGCGAATAAAAGTCCTAACAATTAAGTGTTGTCTTCACTGGAGACACTTGTGATAAGTGGGGTGTGCATTTTTGTACCCTTCCCATTACTTACCTTTATGACTTCAGTTAATCTCTGTCCCTATAACAGTGTGACTATCTTGAGAACAAAGGCCACGTCTCATTACATATGCAGACCCAGAACTGAGTTTAGGCCATGTATGTACTTACAGGACAAATAGGTTTGGTTATAAAAATAAGTAGATAAATATATTAGAATTTCTCCTATCATGTACCCTCTTTCTCCCACTTACTTCGCCCAGTATCCCTATGACTATTTCTCTATAAATTCTTTTCTTTCTTCCCATTCAGGGAATTCTCAGTGGCAACTGATCTGGCTGCTTCTAGGATACACTAACTATTTATTTTATTTATTTTCTATATTTTAATTTTCTCTCATCTTCCCCTTCATCTTCGTAATGTTTCTATATTTATTTTATTTAATCTCCCTTCTTTATTTTCTTTCAGCTCTCCCTTTATCATCTTAATGTTTCTATATTTTTCTGCACCTCTTATATTCTCTTTTTCCTGTATCCTCTTATTATGTGTATATATGCAAAAATAATGGGAGAAATTGATAAATGCCTACTTTCCTTCTGTTGATATTTTCAGATGATTGTTCCCTTCCCCAAAGCATGTTCTTACCACTACTATCCACTCTACTTCTGTTCTCCATTATTCTCTCCTCCTGTTTATTCCCAATTCAATTCTACTTATTTCTTTCTGATAATTATCCACCGGGTAACCATTCTTTCTTTCAATCTTTTTGTATTCCAAGTTCCTCGGGGGAAAAGGTCAACACAAATACCAACTTAAAATTAAAAAGAACTGTCACATAGCAAGTGTATTTCATATAGTTATCACATATCTGCCAGACACTCATTACTCGGGAGTTTCATTGCACAAAATAACAAATCCAAATGTCTGAAATAGTTTAGAGCTTGCACTGAGGATCTCACTTTCTATCCAATAAATATTCACTCATGTACTTAAGACAGACACCCATTAATGTGGTATATCTGGGGAGCGAAGGGCAATTAGGATAAAGAAGGGACCAGTATGACAATAATAATTGGAAATGATTATTTTGGACAGGGACTGAGTTTTGAAAGTAGATAAAGGGATATGCCTGATAAACTTTCCATATCTGTATTGCAAACCGTAATGTCCAAAATAAGAGAAAGGGAGGGAGGGAAGGAGGGAGGGAGGGAGGGAGGGTGAGAGGGAGAGATGGAGAGAGAAAAAGAGAGAGGGAGAGAGAGAGAAGTGCCTACCATAGAGGCAGGCGGTGGGGGGGATGATGGGAGGGAAACTGAGGACACTGGTGGTGGGAAAAGTACACTGATGGAGGGACAGGTGTTGGAACATTACATAACTGAAACCCAATCATAAACAACTTTGTAACTGTGTATCCCACTGTGAATAAAAAATAAATTAACTTTAAAAATGTGGTGGGGGAACCTTTAGCAAAAACAAAAATAGGAAGAAAATTTTAATGTGTTGGAGCAAAAAATCATATTGAACTGGAAATATTTTTCAAATCATTCTCTTTGAAAGCAAAATTCAACACCAAAATGCTCAATGTCATACAAAATAGAAAAATTATGAAAATGTATGAAGCCTTTATGTTTTGAGGGTAGAAAACTGTAAAATACAATTTATGAAGATGTAACTATGTATCTATGTTATGTATATTGCCTAAAAAGATACTTTGAACTTGTGTGGTAAATTCACTCATATCAAACTATTCAGCATTCCCAGGCAATAAGGTCAAAATAAATTGTTGTTGCAATTTTAAATATCTATTTGGTTTAATTGAACACATACACACATAGATGTTTCTTTCCAAAGTAGCAATCATCATCTAATTTGGTGCTCGGAACTTCATCATAGTGGTAGATTGCTGTTGCAGTGAATTCTAGCTGATTTGGATTGCCACAGTGTTTACAGCATTTATATATAGCCTGTGCAAATGACTGTCAGTCTGTGAATCTTTGGAGGGGGGGGACTCCACACCCTGGTGTGCTCAGGAATCACTCCTGACAATGTTTAGGAGACCGTAAGTGGCACCAGGGGTTGAACCCAAGTCAGCCATATGTAAGGCAAGTGCCTTACCTGGTATGCTGTCTCTCCAACCCCAACTCTAGTATTTATTTATTTATTTATTTATTTATTTTCTTTTGGGGTCACACCTGGCGATGAACAGGGGTTATTCCTGGCTCATGCACTCAGGAATTACTCCTGGCAGTGCTCGAGGGACCATATGGGATGCTGAAAATCGAACCTGGGTCTGCAGCTTGCAAAGCAAATACCCTACCCGCTGTGCTCTCGTTCCAGCCCCAACTTGTGTTAGTTTATATGTGCATTTTATTATACATACATTCATATGCCATGACTATATATATATATATAAACTTTATATCTGAGAATGTTTGTAGGTACAACTTTCTATTTATATGTTTATCTACAGAACAGTCCTGGGACTCCGCGCCAGGCTGTGGGGCGTGTGAGAGCCCTCTGCACCCCAAGGGATCCAGCTCCGGCAGCCGATCTCCACTGCCCAACCACTGCCACGCTTCAGGCCACTTTCCGGACGCTCAAGCCGAGCCTCACACAAGAATGAAGTCCCACAGAACCCATATAATGTAGAACCTTGTGACCTTAGACTCTGGACTCAAAGGGACCCAGAACCGAGATCCTCTGCCAGCTTCCCCCAGTCTCCGGTGTCTCAGGGATCATACCCATAAGCCACATCCTGCCAGCACCAGATAATCTCTTCATCGGCCACCCTCCAGAACTCACGGATGCTCCTCCCAGACAGGAGTATAAAAGGAGGCTCCCAGAACCATGCCATCAGACTCCGTGCCAGGCTGTGGGACAAGTGAGAGCCCTCCCCACCCCAAGGGAACCAGCCCCGGCAGCTCACCTCCACTGCCCAACCACCACCATGCTCCAGGCTGCTTTCTGGACTTCGAGGCACATTATTAGACACTTCCTACTCATTTATGCCTCTCAGAGAGCTCAGCAAGCTACTGAGAGTATCCCACCCACAGCGGCAGAGCCTGGCAAGCTCCCCGTGGCGTATTCAATATGCCAAATACAGTAACGACAATAGGTCTCATTCCCCTGACCCTGAAAGAGCCTCCAGTCATTGGGAAAAAACGAGTAAGAAGAGGCTGCCAAAATCTCTGGGCTGGAAGGAATAGAGACATTACTATTACATTACTGGCACTCAGTTGAGTAATTTGATGACCAACGGGATGACAGTGATAGAGTGATACAGTGATCTACTGAACACACGCGTTAGTACATTCTCCTGTAAGAATGTCAGTAAGTATATACTTAGCTGTGCACTTCTAACCTGTAAGGCTCAAAGAGCGTTGAGCAGCGTTCCCTAACCCCCAACACTGGTCAGACTGGAACCCGGCCCTCTGACCTCATTGTGTAGAGGAGTGTCCCGTTGTCCACCAGTCGGAGCAGCTTGTTCGGTGTGGTCATGTTATGAGCCACCGATTTCTTGCCATTGTGGAAAAAAGTGTCTGGGGTCCAAATCTTGCTAGCCAGGAGATTGTTCAGGGGAAGGATCTTCATGGGGCCATCAAATTTCAGCCTTTCATCATGCCAGGTCTGCCGGAAGAATACATCGATGGTGTACTCCTAGGGAGAAAAGGAGAGAAATGCGTTGGAGCAGAGTGCCTGTGACAGCCCCTGGGAGGAGCTCTTGCATGTAGTAATGAAGTCGCTTGATTCCCTCAGAGAAACAGAAATGTGTTCACAGTGAGGACAGAAAATGGCTATGACTACAGAACCATGCCGGCATTCACAGTGCGACGATGAGTCGACAGCATCTTCTTTGGGAAAATCACTGGCAACCCTCTGGCGCTCTCTTGAGAGATCTCTTGAGAAGGCCAGAGTCCCCTTCTTGCCCCCAGCTCCCCTTCCTGCACTGATGAGCAACGAAAAGTCCTGACATTGGAAAGCACGTTTCATCTGAGCCCTCAAACACAAAATCTGGGGGCCAGAGTGATAGCAGAACATTTGCCTTGCACTCAGTCAAGCTGGGTTCAACCCCGACACCCCACTGAGTCCCCTTGGCAACACGAGCAGTGATTCCTGAGCGCACAGCCAAGAGTGGTCCCTAACAATAAGTCTGGGAAGTTAGTATTAGATTATTTTTGATAAATAAGAAAAAATTTTCAGAGAAATAAGATTAAAACTACACATAGAGGGGCCAGAGAGAGTACAACAGGGAAGGTGCTTGCATTGCATGCGGCCAGCCTGGGTTCCATCCCCACATCCCATATTGGTTCCTTGAGTATCTCCAGTATTATCTCTCTTGCATCCCCAAATGCATTGACCTGAGTACGAATTAAACAAGAACTAATATTACAGGTTTTACTAAGAGCACTTAAATCATTTGACTCTACCATTCCAGAATAGGGGGAGAAAGGGAGGAAGGAAGAGAGACAAAGAGAATTTAAAAGCAACACAAAGAAAAAAACTTGAGGTGATGGAGAGCCAACCAGGGGGTAACATACTTACCTTGCACAGGCTGGCCTGGATACCCGGATCATTACCCAACCCCCCGGCCATACACACACAGCCTCATGCTGAGTGCAAAGCTAAGACTTAGCCCTGAGCATCATATGATATGGTCCAAAGGCCAAAAACAAACGCTTGAGGAAAATTTACCCTTCAAGGAGACCAAAGCACAGACTGGAACTGAGTACTCGGCATCTTCCCTCTCCCACATGTGCTCCTTCAAACCTAGATTTCTCCTGGAGGGAAACACAGTCTTACTAAAGGTAGCAAAGAATCTGAAATTTTAGGGCTCTGGGTGACAAAAAAAGAGTCCAAGAAAGAAAGTCCCCAAATCGGGTTATCTATGCTCCCCAAATCCTGGCTGACCACTACACTACAACAATATGGCAGACTCTGGGACAGATTTTTCAAATGCAGGTGAAAGGGGCTAGAACTATAACATAGCGGGAAGGCACTTGTCTCACACGCTGCGAACCGGGTTCAATCCCTAGTAGGTACCACATGCAGCCCTGAAGGACGCCTGGAGTGATCCCTGAGCGCAGAGCCCTGAGCACTACTGGGTCTACCTGCCTCCCCAAAGAAACCCAAAAAGCAAAACGCAGGAATAAAATGGTTATCTCCCATCACCTGAGAAAGGACAGAAAGACTGCAGGTAATGCTTATGTGTTTGGCAGAAGTCAAGAGAAGTACTGGCTTAACATTTTAGGAACTAGAGCTTGGAAATATTCAGAGTTGTAAATTCAGGGGAAGGCTCTTGCAGCATGAGAATGATTAAGAGATGCATGCCAAGACCTGAGCAGAGAGCCTATTCAGAGCCTTGGCTGACCAAGAAGCCATGGCAAAATAAAGCAACGTTAAGAGACACTTAGAATTATTTGAAGAAGAATCATTTAATGGCTTCCACTGAGACTTGGACAAAGTTCCAATATCCTTCCCTTCTCTAGAACATACGGCCTTCACAAACTGGCCCGAGCCTTCCTTTCTAACCTTTTCTCCATCCTTCCACAAAATAAGCAATTTGTCTTGTCTCTTTCTTCCAAGCATACTGAGGATATTAATGCCTATGGATGGGGTGATTACATAACTTAGTGTCTAAACTGGAACACTTTTGAGAGCAAGGAGACTTAATCAATTATTATATCTAGACAATAGGTACAAAGTGAGACTGTGCCAGAGAAGATTAGCTTACTGTAGACAACACCAAGGTCCTTAAGGGCTCGGCTTCAGCAGACAGTAAATTAGATCACATGAACTAAACAGAACTAGATACAGCATGAAAATACAGAGTCAATGTGTCTAGCCACGCCTGGGTTCTGAATGCAGAGAGCTTTAGGGGAAGCAAGCTCAAGCTTAATGCTCTACACAACTGAGGCTTACATGCCTCTTTGCTGCTTACTTATAAACTGATAAAGGACAAAAAAATTGGTCTTTCTGAAAGGATGGGGCTGGGGGTAACTATACGCTGATTTGCAAAAGCAGTCACAATACTTTGACAAAGATTTGCTAAAAATAAGCTAACAACCCACCTAAAATGATGATTATTAAATCCTGAATTCATTCATTCATCATCCTGTTATTCGTTGATTGCCTCGAGCAGGCCCCAGTAACGTCTCTTTCATTCTAGCCCTGAGATTATATTCAAGGCTCTTTAGGAGAATGAGACCCATCATTGTTACTGGTATTTGGCATATTTGGTACGCCACGGGGAGTTTGCCAGACTCTGCCCTGTGGGCAGGCTACATTCGATAGCCTGCAAGTTTGTCCAAAGTAGGAATGAGATAATAAGATGTCATAAAAAGATGTCCTGATAAGATGTCGCATTCGCGGCCGCGCGGTTTCGGGAGCTGGATTTTATAGTCTCTGAGTCTTGGCCGTTGATGGGATTACACGGCGCCAGGGGGCCAGGTGGTGGGTGTGACCCCCGCCTACTGGAATTTGGAGGATCTGGGTGGAGGATGCTCAACTCCAATCCGAGTAGGTTTGGAGATCTCGGCCCCGGAACCCGCGTGGCTTTGTCCTTCTGCCAGTACCTTCATGTGTGCGGAGAGTGGTCTCAGCATGGTGGTGAGACCAGCCACCACCATGCAAATCCTGAATATTCTAGTTTTCTTCTACTATCCTGTAAGCTCCATGGGGACATTCGGTATGTCCCTACCAACTATAAGTCTCCCTGGGAGATAAAAGGAACTCTAAAAACTTTGAATGAATAAGATATTGAATGAATTTCAGGCAAAGAACTACTTTTTATGTCGTATTAAAAAATAGTGTGAGGGGCTGGAGCAATAGCACAGTGGGTAGGGCGTTTGCTTTGCATGCAGCCAACATGGCTGACACAAGTTCAATTCCCAGCATCCCATATGGTCCCCCGAGCACCACCAGGAGTAATTCCTGAGTTCATGAGCCAGGAGTAACCCCTGAGCATCGCTGGGTGTAACCCAAAAGGCAAAAAAAAATAGTGTGAACAAGTACTAGCACACCTGTGAACAAGGTGAACAATGACTCTTATAAATCACAAGTCCTATAAAAATGAGGTGGAACCCATAATCAAAGTAAACCAACTAGAACGGCGGGAGGGACTGGGACTACATGGGTTAATCCAGCCTTTCATTATTTGGAAGGGGGGTGAGACATTAGAACTCATAAAATTTACAAAACAGGAGAGGAAAACAAATGGAAATATGAAAAATGCTATGATACTGAAGGCAAGAAGAGATGACATAAAGAGAATAGAAAATAGCAAAATAAATGAGAAGAAACACATAAAACACGTGCTGGTGGGATTGTTTAGATGCTTAGGTGCTTGCTTTGCATGTAGCAACCTGGGTTCGATCTATGGCATCCCATATGGTCCCCTGGGAACCACCAGGAGTGATTCCTGAGTGCTGGGCCAGGAATAATTCCTGAGTATCACCAGGTGTGACCCCAAAACAAACACCCCCCCAAAATATATATAAAGTATAAACAAGCAATACAATCGTTTGCTATGTATATATGAGTCACATCCAAAAACACAAAATTCAGGTTAAAATTAAAGTACTGAAACATATCTATGTGCAAATCCTAATCAAAATAAAGTGGAACAATTGTAAAACAGAAACAGTAAGACATTTTTCTTTGAGATAAAATATTATTACACTAAAAATGGAGTGTCACACATAGAAAATAAAACTGCATATTGAAAAGGTGGACACATGGGACCACAGACATACCATCCAGTGAGTAGATACTTGCCTTGCATGTGTCCAACCTAAATTCACTTCCCACTACCACTGGGCACAGAGCCAGGAGTAAGTCCTCAGCACTGCCAGGAATAGTCCAACACCAAATCTAAAAAGACTTTTATTTTTTTTTTGAAAGTGAATTCTTATATTCATTGTTTGGTCGACAGATAAGAGAGTCACACAGAAAAAAAAGTGAATCAAAAATTTAAATACATATTAATACAGTAAATCCATAATAGAATCTGTGTCAAGATTTAAATAATTGTAAAGAAATCTTTACTTAATACAGTTTATTGTTGACAGTGCTATTGTTGGTTGTGTTTCTGAAACTTTTTTTTCCCATTGTCACAATGATTTTTTTTATTAGTGAAACAACATGAGGTACAGTTATAGACTTACAAATTTTTGTGCTTGTGTTTCAGTTATACAATGATCAAGTACCCATCCCTCCACCACCACGGGTCCCAGCATCCCTCCCACTCCCCATCACCCCCATCCCACCCTGCCTCGTAAAAAGACTTTTAAAAACAGATAACTTGAGCAAAAAATATATCAGGCAAAAATTAAATTATGACGAGGCAACAAATCTATAAACTAAAAAATCCAACCAACAATTATATAATTAAATTATGACATGTATGAGCTAAGGAACACTCACAGAGTACACATAGCAATGAAAAATGAAAAATGTGAACTCAGGTTGTGGCTTTCTCTGAGGGAGAGAGACAGAGGGATGGGATCAGAAGAATTGGATGGAAACTTCATCTTCTTGTTGACAACTGTTTCTTCTTAACATGAAAAGTTGCTAACAGTTCAGGTTAAAAACTGGGTAATGGTTACCTATGTTTTGTATATTTTTCTGAACATAGCCAAAAGTATTCGGGAAAAAATTAC